AAGACCACAACTAATCCAAACAGATAACTGAAATTTTATTATATAAGATCAGCGTTCCGTTTAAATATGATTACGTCGACGTCACGTGGCCGATGTTTTGAAAACGTATTCGAAGATGATTTCAAAATATTAAAAAACTCGATTGAACTATTTTATATAAACAGTTCAAGAAATCCCTTCCGTTGAATTTTATATGTTCTAATGTTAATTATGTTTAATGAATATGTCCTGATGATGGTCTAAAATAGACCGAAACGTCGACGTTGACTTTATATTTACATTAATACAGCATAATTACATATTAAGATTTTTATTTGTTTTTCTGTATATTTCTTCATATATATATATATAGATAGATAGATAGATAGATAGATAGATAGATAGATCATGAGAAGGCAAGAGGATGAGAAGTTTAAGGGTAGATACTCCAAATATTCAGCCAGTTAAATTGGTCCTAATTATTATAGACCTACACACTTATGAGGAGGTGATTCATGAAAAGTTTATGGCATAACCATGATGGATTCAAAAACAAATTCTGAAATTTGTTCATAGGGTGCGCCAGGTATCTGAGAACACACCTTCAGTAAGCCATCAATGAAAGATGACCTAACATAATGTTCCGCGACATGCGCCAAATTTTATTATTCTTATTTATCTTTCAGATGTACCAATAGCAACCAAATACACGCATTGAAAAGGCAGCCTCTGCACTTATTTTTTTAAAAGTACTTATATGATTATATAAATAACTAAAATTGATAGCCCGTGTAAATCGAAGAGAAAAGAAAACATGCACAATATGTTGCCGTACCACACTACTTCAAACAAAAGTTTAGAAAGGAAGCCCGCATTGATACTGGAAAGAGCTATAACAGTTAGACTTGAGAGATATTTTTCTGAAAACTGTTTTACCGTAGTTCCCCATGTATAATACGCCTTCAACCATAATACGTACGCTTAAAATTGTACTGAAAGTGTGGGGAAAATGCTTCTACTCACCCCTTGTTTGGTAATCAAACCCTATAAATTGTACCTCTTCAATTTCACTACGGCCAACGTTTCCTAATCTTATTAAAAAAATGCTTTTAAACATAGAAAAATATTATGCTAATTTAGTTTTATGATAATTCTTATTTTATTTTACATTTGTAAGTATTGTTAGCTACATATTGTATTTGACATCCTTATGGGGTTGCAATCGCCGAATGTTAGTGTCAAATTGTCGTATGTTTGGGGTGAGTAGTCATTTCGCAACTGAAATCGACCTATGAAATGGTAATCTTTTAAAAAAATTTTGTAACTGTGCATAATACGTATCCCTAATTTTTCTTTTTTTTGAAAAAATCCGTACTATACATGGGGAATTACGGTAATAGAGAAAATTTATAAATTTCAACCCAAAGCACACTCTGTTTGGTCAATGAATGCCGAATGTTTCCTTCGAAGGAAACGCCTCATATTAACATCTGTCTATATCTCTGAGATAAGGTATTATGATTACTTACATTATTTACATTATTTGGACTATTATCCTCATCTTCATTGCTATCTTCACAACGTTTCGGCCTCTATATCTCTGAGATGAGGTATTATGATTAATTGCATTATTTACATTATTTGGACTGTTATCCTCATCTTCATTGCTATCTTCACAACGTTTCGGCGTCTATATTTCTGAGGTGAGATATTATGATTAATTGCATTATTTACATTATTTGGACTATTATCCTCATCTTCATTGCCATCTTCACAACGTTTCGGCTGTTGTACGCTCCGGCCTTTATCTCTATGTCTTTCTATATATCGGTCTATATCTCTGAGATGAGGTATTATGATTATTTGCATTATTTACATTATTCGGACTGTTATCCTCATCTTCATTGCCATATTCACAACCTTTCGGCCTCTATATCTTGTTAAATTGATGGATTCCCGGAGTGAATAAGCATTTTTTTTACGAATTAATTTTTTTATTGTATTCTTAAATAAAAGAAAGGACTAAACATTGATTATAAGGAGACTTAATTTGAGTTTGTCAGTAAGAATAACAATCCAAAATGTGTAATAATAACGGAAATTGCCGAAATCAACCAAGCACAAAAATTTAAATATCTGTTGGAATGTGACACCGAAATTCGAAGGTGCATTGTAACAGCTAAAGATGTTTCCCAAATGCTAAACACTGTCTGAGGAAACAGGAGTCAAAGAATGCTGAACTGTCGTATCACATCGTTCCAACTCTATGAAGGCTAATGCTGTACATTTTGCTCACCCCAAAGAGATTTGAGGCAACAGAGATGTGGCTCGACAAAAGGTTTTTTAAGACTGAATATGTGAGCAACAGGGGAGCTTTAAGGAAAATGGAACCAAAATGAACGATAGTTGAAATTTTGGGTATATGTTGAGAAAAGCGGGCTTGGAGAATTTGACAATCACACAACATATTGAAGAATCGCTGCTTCGTTCTGTAACAGGAGGAAACAGCGACTTACTTGCTTGCGTAAATTGACGGCGGAACAGGAATTAGGGAATGCTGAAAAGACAAACCTTACTAGGAGTTATAAAGGCTAGGAAGTTGTGGAGAGTCATGATCAATCACATTATGAAAAGACATAACACATAGAAGAACATTCGTAAAAGATATTGCTAACATAACATTACTCGATCCTAAATCCTTGAATGACTCTAAAACTGCGCTTCATCGCTAAGCTCGGTTAAGGAAGTTATGGAGAGCTATGATCATCCACACCATGAAGGGAAACGACATATTCAGGGAAGACTATTGTAAAATATCGCTAAAATAACATTACTGCATCATAAATACTTAAACGAATATAAAGCTGTGCTACACTGTTAATACCGACTGAGGAGGTTGTGGAGAGACATGATCGTCCACATCTTGAAGAGAAAAAGTAAATAGAAGATTCTTATTAGATATTACTGACATAACATTAGTTTATTCTCAATCCTTATACGGCTCTAAAACTTCGCTTCTCGCTACATCTCAACTAAGGAAGTTGTGGAGAGTCATGATCGCCTACATCATTAAGGGACACAGAACATAGAAGAAGACTCTTATAAGATATTACTAACATAACATTAGTTTATCCAAAATCCTCAAACGGCTCTAAAATACGCTTCTCGGAAAATCTCAGTTAAGGAAGTTGTGAAGACTCATGACCGTCGGCATCCTGAAGAGAGACAGCACATAGAAGGCGATTATTGTAAGATATTACTAACATAACGTTACTCTAGCATAAATCCTCAAACGGCTTTAAAACCGCTTCTCCGTTAATCTCGACTAAGGAAGTTGTGGAGGGACATGATCATCCATATCCCGAAAAGACACAGCACACAGAAGATTCTTATTAGATATTACCACCATAACAATACTCGGTTTTAAATCCTTAAACGTCTCTAAATCTGCGCTTGTCGGTAAATCTCAGTTAATCTTCCCTGATAAATCTTTGCTTAATATTTCATCATTATCCTCCAGCGGCCCAAACAAAACCCTTCTCAGATTTCATTCATCACGAGAATGTGCACTAAATGACCCGATTGAAAATATGGATATACATATTTTTTTAAGATCAAATGACTAATACTTCCACTATTATTATTGTTATCTCCTTGGATTTCTTTTGTATACACATTTTCTTCTGGGTCCCAACCAGAGACCGAAGGCCAGAAATGATTTCATGACATTTTCCACCAATCATTTTTATGGAAAAAAAAAACGAAGATCACATACCTTTTACATAGATAAAGCTCTTCGTAATATGTGGGCTGCACTAGTGAGTACAATTTTTTTGTATTTCTTTAAGGTATAGATTTGTTATATTCTGTGCTAAGGGAATAAATACTTAACACCAGGTGGATAATCGAAGAAAGGTTTATTGTACACAACAAGTGCTATATGAAATACGGTACAGTTATACACACAGGTCAATCTAGTAGTGAGTGCCACTAATTGGAAGGTCGGACGTGCTCGCGTCTTCTCTCTCTCACTCTTCCTCAAGTCTCTCATAGACGGTTGGCTTTATAGGTACTTGCTACCTATAGTGTAATCATTCATGGGGTAACTGGTTATTCCATTACATCAAGATTACCAGGAATCCCTCAAAGAGTTTATCGGAACCTTTTCCAATCAATCCGAGGACACTAAATATAACCGGAATTATTGATGTCCTCACGTGACACATTTTTGAGATTTCCACATCAAGATCCTTGTAGTTGTTTAAAGTTCTTCAAAGATACATTACAATCTGCAGGGACTGCCATGTTAATAAGATATTCAGTTTTTTCTGGTCTTTGATCACGATGTTTGGGCGATTATCTTTCATTGTTCTGTGTGTATTTTAAAGTCCCATAAAATAGTGAAATCCACACATTCACCAATTATTATGCGTCTTACGGCCACATCAAGTTAAGCAACGTCAGTACGGAGATGGGTGACCACTTTGGAATACCAGGTTTAGTAACCTTGGATGTCTTGAGTGCTGTATTCTGTTTCCAACCGATCCTTATATTCACTTACACGCAATTAGCCCTGGGAAAGGTATAACTTCACTTCTTCTCCTCCCAGCTATGGGTTAATTAGTAAGAGGTGTATCAGTAAAACATTATTATCTTGGAAAAAATTGTTATAATCTAAATATATTCTCCGGCTTTAAATGACCTACAAGGGGGTTGATGGGCCGTAAAAAAAGCAAGTCAATGAGTCAATCAATTATTCTGTTCACTATTTACAAAAATCTTACATCAGAACTACTTTCAGAAAAAGGGATATGATTTAAGTGAAGTCTCGTGATAAGGTTATATTTAAATATATACGATTTGGTATGAAAATTAACACATGCACATTTTCAGTATTTCATGCCATTTTGAAAAAAAATGAGATCTTATCTCCTGTCTTGGTAGATGTCAAAGAATCTCTTGTTATTTTCCTTTCTTTAGGAGGGATACTTTCTTGTCTGCTTGTATGTATGTAAGTTAACATGCAAACAGATAGATAGATAGATAGATAGATAGATAGATAGATAGTTTGCATACATACATACATACGCATATCAGAAACTAAAAAGGATAGAAGGTGATAGATAGATAGATAGATGCGTACTAAACTAAAATAGAGAGATAGATACATAGACACGAAAGTAAAATATATAGTTTACATACATATATATATATATATATATATATATATATATATATATATATATATATATAAAAAGAAAAAAAAAATAGATAGATAGATAGATAGATAGATAGATAGATAAGAAACTAAGACAGACAGATCAGTAAAATAGATACATGCATACGTAGGAATCTAAAATAGATAGTTTCTTTATGATGGAATGCACCATTTATCTGAAAAGGAGATTAAGCACTCAGAAAATCAAGAAAATACTTCGATGACTGAATTATGATGACAAGAATTCGGGGGATGAAAAGATTCTGTCAAAAAAACTGAAAAATTCTGCCTGAAATTATTAATATAGAGAAAGAAATTAATTGGCCTTTTTTTCTTGTTTCTTTTTCATGTTAGCGAGAAATTGAAAATAAATGAATAATTTTGTAAAACTCTTTGGATGCGTAGAACAAAAAAAAAGTCCATTACTTTCTGTTTACTGATATTCCTATTAACTGTCTCTTTTTCTATCGAAGATTATAAAATTAAAATTTACATAATCATTTGTATTTTCAAATAAATTTTCAAATATTAATTATCGCTAGGTGTCAAATTCACCTGGGTCGAATTGACATCATTGCTTTCTTTTACACCAAATGAAATATTTTAATACTTCTCCTCGTTCTATTTTTTTTTTAATTATCGCCAAAGAGAACGATAAGAGCGATATACACAATGAAGGTTAAGAAATATTTTCACACTTTCAAAAATATTTATTTTATACACTTCTGAGTCTTTCATTTCAATTATATTTGCACCGGTGATGTATTTTGATATAAAATTTAAAATGACAAAGAAATGCATAAAATATTATATATATATATATATATATATATATATATATATATATATATATATATATATATATATATATATATATATATATATATATATAAATATTTTGCAAGCCTTCAAATACTTCTTCCCACCCAACCCTGCGTGCGTATGTGTGAAATGAAGAGGGTAATCGGTGCATAAAGTGGGACTGGCGTGTCGAGTTCAAATTCCACCCGGAGCCGTTTTGGTCGATTTCATATAGATAACCTTGAAAAGTAATCCTGACCAGTTCGGTAAGGTCAAATTGGCAGCTGATCTCAAAATTGACCTACAATCTGTTGTTAAATGGGGCAAGGAGTGGCTTGTTAATTTTAAAACCTCAGAAGCGAAACTGCTCTCTCTTACTCATCTGAGTGAACCAGTTTTACCTTCCGTCAGCATGGCTGATGCTAACCTCAGGACTCGTTGCGCCTTCTTGGAAGAATGTTTTTGGCTGACATGAAGTGAAAAGAGTATATTGAATCAATTGCTAAGTCTGTAGCTAAAAAAAGTTAGTTCCCTAAGTCGTGCTAGACCATTTTCCTCGCCAGAATTGATCTTATATATTTATAAGTATACAATTCATCCTTGCTTTGAATATTGCTGGCAAATCTGGTCTGGTACTCCTGGGATATATTTAGAGATTCTTTATAAAATCCCCAAAAAATCTGCAATGTTATTGGTTCTGACATGACATCTCGACTTCCGTCCTTTCCCCATCGCCGTAACGTAGCTTCCCTGTTTTTTTTTTTTGTTTTTTTTTATAAATACGTTCATGGTAATTATTCTGATGAATTTTCCGCTATGCTACCTAGATTTTGTGAATTTGAACGCAGTACTAGATTGGCGGGAAGGTCTCATCATTTTACTGAAATCATGAGATGGAACCGTAAGTTCTATGCTAACAGTTTCTTCTATCGCACTTCCCCCTTGTGGAAGTCTCTTCCGGCTTCTTGCTTCGCAGTCAACTTTGATCTTCAAAAAATTTAGATGCAATGTCAATCGTTATCTTCTGTAATTTTAATTATTATCCTTTTATTGTCCTCTCCCCTTACTAGTAATTTTTCCCATATTTTCTAACAAAAAGTAACCCCTTGCAACCTAGTAACTTTATTGCCTTGTTTGGGGTGAAATGATTAAAAAAAATGAGTCTATCTTTTCTACCCCTGCCACCACTCCACAGATAGTGCAGGGCAGAGTGAGTTCTCTAGCCTTGGTTGGCAACCAGTCTAAGAGTAGAACAGCACTGAATTCCAAATCGGTTTGACCTGGGGTTAGCAAAACCTCTCCGTAAAATTCTATTCGCTATGGAAACCCGGGAGCAACGCCTAGAGCGGTGGGTTTGTGGTCCCATACGCCAGAGAGGAATTTACAGGTTTAGTAATATATATATATATATATATATGTGTGTGTGTGTGTGTGTGTGTGTGTGTGTGTGTGCGTGCATACTTTAAAAATCAGGAGGTTATTTGAATCCGCTACCTTGGTTTCGACCTTACGGTCTCCTCAGGCGATTGTTATCAAATGACTTCTTAACGCTTTATTTAAAAAAAAAACCTACTGAATGCTATATTATTTTTAAAAATAAATAAACAAACGCATGATGTTTAGTGTAACAGGCTGGATAAAAAAAAGTGTAATATACATTTCAGTTACCCCCCCCTCACTAATGCATTTACAATACACACGGACATTGAGGTCAACGCCCATTATCGACAATCTGTTTCATACTTCAACGCAATCATCAGGCCGTGTGGGCTGTTTTTTGGTTCGACTTTTTATATATGTTGGTCAATGATGCATTGTGGGTAGGTCCCTTGTGTTCTTCTAACATTTGTTCTGTTGGCGGTAACGCTTATTTTTCAAGTTATCTCCCTTTTAACTCAACTCTCCAAGATTTTGTTCACATCTGCTGTAGCCAGGTATTAAAACAACGTTTTTATCCATTGGGCCATGTGTCCTTGAGGAACTAGAATAATCTACCCCGGTGGACGAAATAAAGGGTTGGGTTCGAAATTCCAATCGCCTGAAGAAGGCTGGAGCGTACAACAGTCGAAACGTCGTGAATATGGCAACAAAGATGAGGACAACTGTCCGAACAATGGGAATAGTGTAAATAATTACAATACCTTATCTGAGAAATATAAAGAAATGTTTTTTTAATTTGTTTCTAATTTACTTAATTTGTTAAATATTTATTGGTTTGGATTATTTTATTTTATTTTGTTTTATATTTTTATATTTTATTTTATATTTTTCTAGTTTATTTTACTTTATTTTATATTTTTCCATTTTATTTTATTTTATGTTTATATTTTTATATTTTATTTTATGTGTTATATTTTATTTTATGTTTTTATATTTTATATCTTATTTATACTTTTATATTTATTTTATTTTATTTTTTCTACTTTATTTAATTTTCTATTTTTCTATTTTATTTTATTTTATTTTTCTATTTTATTTTTTTGATTTTTATATCTTATATTTTATATTTTATTTTATTTTATTTTATATTTTTAGATTTTATATTTTTCCTTTAGATTTTTTATATATATTTTCTTTTATTTTACTATTATATGTTATATTTTATATTTTAATTTATTTTTATATTTTTATATTTTATTTTATTTTATTTCATTTTTCTATTTTATTTTATTTATATTTTATATTATTTTTTTTATTTTTTACATTTTATTTTATTTTATTGTTTCTATTTTATTTTATATTTTTAAATTTTATATTTTTATTTTATTTTTTCTATTTTCTATTTTATGTTTTTTTCTATTTTATTTTATTTTACTTATTATAAGAAGGCGGAGAAAATTTGGTCAAGTTCAGTTCAGGCGAAACCGAGAAGAAATGCCCGCATTTAAATATCAACAAAATTTGCGGTTGTCCCTCGCTTGCACTTGTTGACCCCGACACATATGTTGGTCAAAGAATTAACACGAATTCTGATTGCTGTCAGCTCCACGGATTTGTATATCGAGTAGGTCAGAGGTAAGTGACTACGGTGAACAAGTCGGTAAATATCGGTCTTACAACTTATGTCTGATTAATACCCTTTCTCTAGGACTGACTTTATGCGTGTTGCGTGCCTGCGTGTATATAAGTCAGCATGCAGATAGATAGATAGATAGATAGATAGATAGATACGAATAGGTCCAGATAGATAGATAGATAGATAGATAAGAATAGGCACAAATGGATAGATACGAATAATTCTCGATAGATAGATAGATAGATAGATAGATAGATAGATAGATAGATAGATAGATAGAAAAGAATAATCCTAGATATATAACCGACCTACATAGATAGATAGATAGATAGATAGATAGATAGATAGATAGATAGATAAGAATAATCCTAGATATATAACCTATCTACATAGATAGATAGATAGATAGATAAGAATAGGTCCAGATAGATAGATAGATAGATAGATAGATAGATAGATAGATAGATAGATAGATAGATAGATAGATAGATAGAAAAGAATAATCCTAGATATATAACCGACCTACATAGATAGATAGATAGATAGATAGATAGATAGATAGATAGATATTTCTACTTGAGTAAATGCCGGTATTGATGCTTTTGTACCTTCTCGTAAAAATCAGGTGAAACCACAATCTTTTCGTTGGATCCCACCGGCCCGTTCAGCCGCTATAAGTCCACATGAATCACCTTTTTTTCCGGGTGTACCAGCGTGACAGTTCCAATCACAACAGACGCTTATTTGTGTCTGCTCGCAATAATTGTAAATATGTTCTTAAAGACTCTAAGTCGTTGTTTACTGATAGACTGAGACACCGTATAACCTATAACAACTTCTGTTCTCGAGATTACTGGCAGCTCTATAATCTTTCCATTTTTGTACCGTGTCCCTTCAGAACGTAAGTGATCTTGACTCTCCACAGCTTCCTGTCCCTCGTAGCTCATATAAATTTTGTCTTTCTGTTACTTCTCCTAAACTCTGTATGCCAATCATTCACTTATTTCCACCAAGTATATCATGCACTGATGTCCCTCTTGTCCTCTCTCTGCCCTGTGAGTATCAGATTTTCCAAGCCCTCTTTCCTCATTATGTAAGCTAGAAACCTCAACTGTACCTTTCTGGTATTAAATATGTTTCTTTTTTGCTTCTTTAAAACTTTGTCGTTGATCACATGTTCGGTCTATGGTATCCTCAGCATCCTTCTGTAGAACGACGTTTCTGTTGATCCAAGTCTCTTCTTCATCTTTAAGGAGATATATAAAATGCCCTGTTCTGCCATCCATTTAGTCAACTTCACTAAGTATATTAACGCTTTGTTTCCCTCTGTACGTCTTGCCTTGAATCTGTCCTGTGAGTATCAGATTTTCCAAGTCTTCTTTCCTTATTATGTGCACCAGAAACATCAATTTTCTCTTCCTGGTATTAAGTATTAGTTTCCTTTTTGTTTCCAGTTTCTTCCAAACTCCGTCGTTGATCACCTATTCGATCCATGGTATCCCCAGCATCCTTCTGTAGAACCACATTTCTGTTGCTTTAAGATCGTACTGCAGTCACTTCCATATAGGAAGACAGATATCACGTAACAGTTTTGTACTCTTTTCCTTGTTTCTAGCGAAGTCTTTTCTGTTCCATAATACTCTGCTTAGCTTTTGGAAGGCATCTTTGGCTATCTCGGTGCGACTTCAGTTTCAGTCACAAGTTATTTAAATTTCTGCACTTGTTTGATTTTGGTATCTCCAATTTGCATAGTTATATATATATATATATATATATATATATATATAGATAGATAGATAGATAGATAGATAGATAGATAGATGTCTTTGTGTGTGTGCGTGTGTGTGCGTGTATGTATGTATGTGTAACAATTGAGGGTCACTGTGCAAGATTTTGACATGAGACGCACAGAAGTCAAGACCTACATTCACGTCCACACACAAGAAGCTAATGCGCTGAAAACTACAAAGGGACCGTCCCGAACAACGCCGATACTGTTTACAGTAAGAACTAATTTCTAACTATCTCTTGTATCCCCCGTTACTGTACACACACACACACACACATACTGGCTCTTTCATACAAAAGATGACCCACACTCCCAAATTCAAGTTATATTCGTTTATGAAAAGAGAAAAAAAGAAATGTATAACAACATTTCACTGTTTTTCACATACGTACATAAATTATATTTATTTATTTCTTCCTAATTGACCATAAAAGGGTAATAAACTTCAGTTAACTTCGTAAGACAAATATTCAACACGACTAATGTCGCCCGTAACTCACGACTGTCTCAATTTTTATTTAACTAAAGTTCTTTTTTTTGCTTTTTAAAAAACGAATATAACTTGAAATTGGGCGGGTAGGTCATCGTTATTTTGCACGTTTCCCCTTCAGTTGTTACACAGAAGAAAAATTAATTTGGATTAAACGAAATTACTTACAATATAATGCATATTATTGATAATACATTCCTTCTTGCCAACAAATTTGACGGCACGAGTATACTAGTCTATAGTTGAATGGATATGAGTTTCTCTGAGAATCACATAAGCGTGAAACCGACGGTCACAAACACAACTAAATATGTTTTAGCTCTATTACGGATAGTGAGTGCTTTCCAATAAGCATAAGCACTGCATATATATAAAATAGATATAGAATTTATATATATATATATATATATATATATATATATATATATATATATATATATTTTAAACAGTTCAACTTCAGTTTTTACTTTTATTTTATTATTTCACGCGTGTATTGAGCACTTTCTATTAGTACTCTTTCCTGGTCTGATTCAAACTCTGACCATTAACCTTTTATGTATTTTACACACACACACACACACACACACACATATATATATATATATATATATATATATATATATATATATATATATATATATATATATATGATTATTTATTCGAAAATTATAGCATAAAAATATGTTATAAAAATCACTACGAAAAACAGCTATTTTGTTTCAACACTTCTGTAGTCTTATCAAGCGATGGTGTTGAATGTAGAATTATATTTGCTCTACTTTGTATTGAGCACACATTTAAGAATAATATTTTTTGGTTATTGGAATTTATTCCGTATATACCAATACTATACATTATTATATATATATATATATATATATATATATATATATATATATATATAGTCTCCTCCCAAAAAGTGATACCTGCTTATATTTGGCCGTTTCATTTATCCAGTCTATAACTCTCTCTCTCTCTCTCTCTCTCTCTCTCTCTCTCTCTCTCTCTCTCTCTCATATATATATATATATATATATATATATATATATATATATATATATATATATATTG